ATGGAAGGAAACTGAGGGAAGGGAGTTCAGTGTGACAGCTGAGAATATGGACATCACTGAGTAAAGACAACAAGGGTAAAGCTGGAAGAAACACTGATCTAAAATATACTAAATGCCAGGAAGGAGATCAACATGTTGATATTCTGGCTATTCAGAAACTTGAATAAGCAAGGGGTACTAAAGCAAAATAGCTGTTTGCTAATTTTCCCTCCTTTCTTCCCTTCAAAACATAGGAGCAGCAGAGATTATGTTTTTGAAGAACAACCCTAAGATGTGGTCAAAAGCTTGTGCAGTTCCCAGCACACTATAAATCAATATAGCAAAAGCCTTAAGTGTTCATCAACAGTCTCAAATTCCCTGGGCCTACCCAAATCAATTCTTTTTTGGCTCCACTCTCCCTGCTGTGATCTGCTAGATAGCACTGGCAGATAACTTGTGCTACGCACTCAGTTAACTCTGAAAAGGGTGCTGTCTGGCCAAAGACTGCCATGACTGGATAATGTGTCCAAACAGAGGTTTAGTTAGATTAGAATCCAGGCTGGTCCCTGCTCCCGTGCCCCATTCTGATTAAGAGGACATGTTGAGAGTACAAAGCTACCTTTTTCTTTTCTTTTCTTTTCCTTTTTTGGTTTTTTGAGACAAGGTCTTGCTTTGTCGTCCCAGGTGGCCTTGAACTTTCGAGATCCTCCAGCCTCAGCCTCCCAAGTTGTGGGATTACAGGTGTTCGCCACACCTGGCTACAAGGCTGCATTTTAACTGACTCCCTGACTGCATCTCACCTGGACATGAAGACTCAACCTCATTTCCTGGATTATTTCCTCCAACTTTTTTTTTTTCTCCCCTCTGGTACAGGGATGGAACTCGGGACTTTGCACTTGCGAGGCAGGTGGTGGAACCACTGAGCTAAATCCCCGGCCCTCCTCCAGCATTTTTACCTAACTTTCCAACAAGGGAGCCCATTTGAGGCCTAGAGACTGGCTACCATTAAATGACAGCTTGTAGCATTAGTTCTAAATGGAAAGTGAGTCAGCTCCTTGGTGCGAAAGTACCCTCCCTGTTGGTCTGGGAAACCAGAAGCAGGGTGGATGTTTCAAGGGGCGAAGGGCAATCCCAGGCCCACACCCTGAACTGCCTAAAATTAGGTGAAGTAGCAGGCACCACTCCACAGCTGTCAGATCTCAACTCCCAACCAGGAGTGTTGGGCCTTGAGCCCCCAGGCCATCCTCCAGTACCTATTTCTTCGGTCATTAGAAAAGTCAATCTAAACCAACATGTTCTGAGGGAAGGGACAGAATGCTAGCAGCTGAGTAGCTTTCCCCATACCTCTCCCAAGAGGGCATGCAGAGTATACTTGCCCCTTTCACATATTTATACACTTATTTCTGGAGAACAACTGGTATCTTTTTTTTCTAAGTGTGTTATTCAATTTTAAAAACTCCTAAACTTCTTTTAGCTGGGTCCTAAAAGGCAAACAAGAGTAATGGAACAAAATAACAGATGGCTATTTTAGGGCCTCCATCACTGGGGAAAGAAAGAAAGAAAAGAAAGAAAGCAAGAAAGAAAGGGGGGGGAGGGAGGAAGGGAGGAAGGGAGAAGGAGGGAGGGTGGGAAGGAAGGAAGGAAGGAAAAAGAAAAGAAAGAAAAGAAAAAGAAAGAAAAGACAAGACCTACTTGGAGAAACACAAAATCAGAACTTTCAAATAATTAACTCACACCTAAAAGAGCCCTAGCCAAAGGTCGGGGTCTAAACAGAGGCCCTGCAAATAAAGATGTTTCTGTAAACACACAGGCTTAGCAAACAAGGTCTGTCCTCCTGCTGTGATGAGAAGTCATGGGGTAACTGTCAAAAGATCTCAGCCTTCCACGAAAGTGGGGCGGTGTGGAAAGGCTACTCAGGCCCCTTTTAGAAACTGGAGATGGGTACTGAGGACTGTAATTGCTCAAGAATTTACTCACATGCCTGTAATCTCAGCTACTCTGGAGGCTAAGGAGGGAGGATCACCTGAATCCAGGACATATTTTTTTTCCTCAAAGACCAGTCCAGTCTTTCTTCATCCCCCCAGGAAAATATTCCAAACCTTCCCATGTAAAAACTGTTGCATAACCTACTTATTTACATAATGGCTTAGTTCTAGGGGGCCCCTAGAAGTCAGAGCAAAGGGCATTCAGTTAGACGTGAGACACATACTCAGTTGGGCCAAACCCTACTGCAGCTGTTCTGGACCCAGAATTCAAAGTATATGACTATGCATGTACAAGACCGTCACTCCTTCTATGCCCAGTGGATTGGCCTTGGAGAGGCAAGCAGAGCAATCTGTCATTCCCTAAAGAAACATTACAACATAGAAAAAGACCAGCCAGCCCATATAGGATGAGGGTGAAAGGTTCTCCTGGAAGAGAACAGAACAAAACGCTGTACTCCTTTCCATTACTCCTTCCCCATGTCATAAAGGATCCTGACCCCACAGGGGAAAGGGCACAGAGGTGCAGCAATACTTTTCCCCTATAGAACAGCTAAGTGTAAATATTTGCTGGAACAGATATAAGGCAGGGCATATTAGATCCTGATCCTTACTGAGAATTTAAAGCAGCTGGTTCTAGAGAACACTGTGAGCCACCCTTACTTGCAAACTTGCCTGGCCCCAGAGGAAGGGAGCTGGGGAGTAGGAAGGAGAAGGCCACAATGCATGGAGGCCTTGGGGTTCTGGTGAGACCTAGTTCCCGCCCAGGGTTCAGTGTGGCAGCCTCACCCTGTGAGCAAGGGAGACTAACCACGAAGAAAGACACACCCTAACTCTCAAGAGGGAGGAGAACAGAGCTAGCAAACAGAGGCACTTGGGTAGTAGTAGAAGACAGGAAAAGGAAGGTCTCCTACTAGCACTACCTGAGAAAAAAGGGCTGGGGCTCATTGTCACAAGCACTTAGAGATGGAAAAGTCAGATCCAAGACATTCTCAAAAATGACACTGTGGCTCCTGTTCCCCTCCTAATTTTCCAAGCCTCTTGGCAACCCTCACCCTTTTACAACCTTGCACTGTCTCAAGCAATAAATTACTGTTGGGGGCTCCAGACTGATCTCCCCTTCCCCTCAAAATGCATTTCAACGCCAGCTATCTCAACATGCCTACCCTGAGGTAGGTGGGGCAATGGCAAAGGACACCACCCCAAGAACCCACTGTCACCACCACCACCACCCCAACAGGACTGATGAGAACATTCAAGCTGACGTTGGTAATTTAGCCAAGGTTATGCCTGGCTCCACCTCAGGCTGCCCTGGAACAGCTGCTCCTCCTACTTTCTCTGCCAGCCTCCAGACTGGGCTGCCTGTGCCAGCCCCAGAACACCAACTCCCACCCACAACACACTTCCAATCATTCTCCACTTTAAAGTCTGCCCCCATGATCCTGAAAAATCTCCACCAACCTCCTCTCCCTCAGCCCCAGGGCCCTCACCCAAAGCCCCACGTCCATACACATCCACCTTTGTGGAATTACCAAGGGTCCTTTTGATATCTTTGCTCATTTTACGAATTACTCTGCAAGATAGAGGATCTTGCACAAGACCACAGGGCCGATGAGTAATATATGAAAGGAAAATCCAAATCTCCATAACACACTAAATGCTTCTAACTTTAAGTACTTGCCACCCTCTTTACACACTACCCTTCTGTATAACCCCCTCCCCACACTCGCCCACTCAACACACTCCTTCCTTTAGCTCTTCCCCCACACCTTCAAGCCCTCTCACGGATCACTCAGAGCTCCCTCTCTCATCTATGTTGGATTATCCGCCCCCAACACACGAACACTCTCCCTGGGCCTCTTGCGCATATTCTGAACTCCCTTTCACGCCTGTGGGTCCCCCAAGTTGCTTCCAAACCCCAAAGTAAACCAGAAAACGCATTCTGCTTTAGGATCCCTTTACCACCCCCTCCCCGACCAAAAAAGACACCATTCTCCCTGGACGCTCACCTCCTCTTCCCAAAATACTCCCCATTCCTTTTTCAGTCTCTTCGTCACACCCTCCCTTTCTAAGGAGACTCATTTTCTGAACCTCACCTCCCTCCCATTATCCGCCATTCCAGTGCACTTTCCCCCCTCACCATTCTCACCTTTGCCTCAGGCTCTTTCAACCCTTCGCTGAACTTCCCAACCTCCTTATCAACTTTCTAGAAACTCCTCTTTAAAATACCTCCAAATACTGTGTCCCCTTTAGCTTCTCCATCCATCATTTCCTTTCATCTATCTCTTCTTTTCTGCACAAGCACCCCAAATAAATCTCATTCCTCCAAAAACATCTTATTCACTGGCCTCTAACTTCTCCCGTCAGCAACTCATCAGACCCTTAGTCCCTCCACACTCCCTTAGCACCCCTACCCACTCTCCCACCCTAAGCCCATGTCTTTTTGGATTTTTTCCCTGACTTAGCTCCTCTATTCCCAAGCTCCCTAGTGCTCCTGTCCCTCTTCAGACTCCGCAACTCTGTGCCCGCCCCCCCATCTTCTGATTTTTCTCTTAGTCCCTACTGGAAGCGCCCAGCCTAAGGCTCCCCCAATTCTGATCTTTCTCAAGCTTTTTGTATTCCAAAGAATCCCCTCTATATTCGGGCTCCCAGATCCCTAATTCTACCCGGGCCCACAAATTACCTTCCCAGGCTCCGTCTTCTTCAGCCCTCCCCACCCGTCCTCTGACCTGGATCCCGCCTCAGACCCCAATTCCATTTGAGCCTCTCCCGTCTCCTCGGTTCCCCCAGACCCTCCAAACCATCACCAGAATTCCTGATTCTTTTTTGTAGATTCCCATATTCCCTACCCCGGCACCAATTATTTTTTCACATTCCCAATTCCCTCCTCAAGTTCTACGATTTCTTTTCAGGACTTCAAAGCCCTCTCCAGGCCCGCTAATTCCCGTCAGACCCTGCAATTCCCTCTCGGGACCTCCGATCTCCTCCCCAGCGCGCCCGGCCTCCCTCGGAAGCCCCCCTCCAACCCGTCCCGCACACCTTGCGCTGTTGCTTCTCCCAGGCCGGGTCCAACAGCAGGTCCCGGTCCCAGTCGTCCTCTTGGGCCATGTAGTCGCCCATGCCACCCCCACCGCCAGCGCCATTGCCCGCGCTGCTGGGGCCGTACTGGTACGACTGGTTCGCCGCGTGGTAGTCCACCATTCCGCCGCCTCTCGCTCGACCACCAGCCCGTCCGCTCCCGCCTCAGCTCCCGCCCCTACGCCGGAGCCTCCGCTGCCGCCGCCGCTTCAGCTGCTTCAGCCCGCTCGCCGCCTGCGGCTGCGCAGTGCCTGCCGCGCCTGCGCACTGCGCCGCCGCCGCCGCCCTCCCGCGCGCGCGCACCTGACGAACCCAGACCGCCCCCAGGAGCTCAGCGCCTGCGCAGAATTCAACTCTCCACGCCTTCAACTCGGGTACGAGCCGAGCCGGGCCCGTTCTCGCGCGTGAACGTGCACATCATTCGCTTGCGGGCGAGGCCGGTTCGTGAATGATACGGAAGGCAGTTCTCGACCCTGAGAATTAACCTGCTCTGGCGTGGAATGCATTCTTATTTAGAATTCAAATGCAGCAAGTAATTTATTTATATATTCGTATATTTATTTTTGAAGGTACTGGGAATTGAACCAAGGGACTTCGCACTTTTCTTTTTTCCTTTTCTTTTTTTTTTGGTACCAGGGATCGAACTCGGGACCTTGAGCTTGCGTGGCAGGAGCCAGAACCACTAAGCTAAATGCCCGGCCCTTTCTTCCTTTTCTTTAAAAAAAATTTTTTTTTTCCTTTTCTTCTTTTTTTTGTACCAGGGATCAAACTCAGGTCCTTGCGCTTGCAAGGCAGGCAGTGGAACCACTGAGCTAAATCCCCGGCCCTCCTTTTCATCTTTTTGAGACAGAGTCTCGCTAAATTGCTAAATTGCCTAGGCAGGGATCAAACTTGCCATCATTCTGCTCAGCCACCCAGCATGTGCTACCACTGCCAAAAGCAACAAATATTAGTGCTGGGGATTTAGCTCAGTGGTTCCGACGCCTGCCCTGCAAGCTCAAAGACCTGAGTTCAATCCCTGGTACAAAAATATACATATATATATTGGAAGCCTATTGTGTGCTAGACCATGTTTTATTCATTGTCAATAAAGAAGACAGACCAAAATCTCTGACCTCTGAAACTATCTTCTAGTGAAGAGTGTCAAACAAAATGTTAAGGTTCTGGAGAAAATAACATAAGCTGAAACAAAGTTTTCAGCCTGGGTAGGCTTTATGGTGAAGATGGACATTTGAGCAAAGGCCTGAAGAGCTCACAAAATGGACAGTGGAGCCTGGTGTGGTGGTGCAGACCAACAGTTCCAGCATTTGGGAGACTCAGGCAGGAGAGTCACAGGTTCAGGTCCCTCTTGGGCAATTTAGCAATACCTTATCTCAAAAAATAAAAAGGGCCAGGGATGTAGCTCAGGGAGGGCTTGAGTTCAGTCCCCAGTGCTGGCTGGGAAAAAGAGACATGGGAGGTAGGTTAGACTGGAACAGGTACTGGCTGACTGGGAAGCTAGAGCATTTTGGGGGATGTGTCTGTCTTCATTCATGCAGCAAACGTTAATTGAGCACCTACTATGTGCAAGCTGTACTCCTGGGCACTGGTCATATAGTGGTGAGTGTGATATACTTGTCAGTTATCAAGTGACCTTGTAGTTGGGATGGGCAACTATAAATAAGCAGACAGATATAAATGGCAATGCTACATTAATAAGTATCTCAAAGGTAAATATTCAAAACTGGCCAGGCGTGGTAGTGCACATCTGTAATCCTAGCACATGAGAGGCTGAGGTAGGAGGATAGGTGCAAGTTCGAGACCAGCCTGAACTACGTAGTGAGACCCTGTCTCGAAAAAAGAAAGAAAGATGGGCTGGGGATTTAGCTCAGTGGTTTCACCGCCTGACTAGAAATCGCAAGGACCCAAGTTTGATCCCTGGTACCAGGAAGGAAGGAAGGAAGGAAGGAAGGAAGGATTCAAAGCTGAACTCCTGATCTTCCCCCTAATCCAGATCACCCAACAGTCATCCAGGTCTCAGTTCATGGCCTCGCCATCCTCCAGCTGCTCAGAAAAACCTTGGAGTCATCTTTTATTTCTCCGGCTTTACAGCCTGCATCCTCTGCATCAGGAAATTCTGTTGTCCCATCTCCACTCCCTAGGCAGAACCTACCCACTTCCTCCTGCCCCCGCCCTGTGCCCTACCTGGTTCTGTCTGCCCTCACCATCTTGCCCCAGACTCTAGAGCAGCCTGCCCCTCCCTTCAGCCCCCACACTATCTTTTTCAGGAGAAGCCAGTATGGAGCCTGTGAGCACCTGAGTAAGATCATGTCTCTCTTGCTCTGTTCAGAGGCTTTCCGAGGCTCCACACTTAGAGTGAGAATGCCAAAGTCAAGGAAAGGAGGAAAGCGTGGAGGAGAGCTTGCCCGGGCTTGTTGCTGAGCAGCTTTTTTTTTTGTCTGTTTGGGGATTTAAAAAATTTTTTTATTTTTTTAGGGTTGGTTTTTTGAGACAAGATCTCGATATGTAGCCCAGGCTGGCCTCCAACTCACACTCATAGAGATTCTCCTACCTCAGCCTCCCAAGCAATGGGATTACAGGCCTGTGCCACCATGCCTTTCCTTTTTTATTTTTTTTCCTCTTTTTTTTTTTTTTGTACTTGGATTGAGCACAGGGCCTTTCTCTTGAGGTACACCCCCTCCTCTTAGTTTTTAAATTTTGAGACAGGGTCTTGCTAAGTCACAAAGTTATCCAGGTAAAACTTGTAATCCTCCTGCCTCAGCTTCTTGAGAACCCATGATTACAGGTGTGTGCCACTGAGTGGGAAAGAAGGGATGAGAACTCGACAGTCCAAGCGCATTTATTGCTTTTTTTTTTTTGGTACCAGGGATCAAACTCAGGACCTTGTGCTTTTGAGGCAGGCAGCAGCCCTCATATATTGCTTTCTTTCGTTTTTTGAGACAGAGTCTTGCTATGTAGTGCAGGCTGGCCTTGAACTTACCATGTAGCCCAGGCTGACCTTGAACTCCAGGGGAACTTCCTGCCTCAGCCTCCTAAGTGCTGGCTGGGATCACAGGTATGTGCCACCAGGCCCGACCAAGCAGGTTTATTGCTAAACCTGAAAGGAACCTCTCTGTGCAATCAGAACAGAGGTGTCTCTTACAGGCTGAGGCTTTTAAACTTTTTTGGGGGGGTACCAGGAATCGAACTCAGGTCCTTGAACTTGCCAGGCAGGCTTGGTGTCACTGAGCTAAATCCCTGGCCAACCGAGGCTTTTTAAAATAGTGGTTTTTTGGCAGACTTTCAAGGGAATGGGTCGGAGAAATGGCGGGCTTGTGTCTTGCTGATATGCCCTCTGTGACCTACTGATGTCCTCTGGGGACTGCTTGTGACCTAGGTAAAATGAAACCTAGGTTTCTCTAAGATGGCAAGTGGGCTCATTCGAACTGGTAGTGTCCCTGTCCAGGCTCTGTCACCATGCCAGGCTCTTGTCCAGATTTTGAAACAGTGGGAAGTCCTGGGGCTTCAGCCAGACCCCAAAGGTCTTCTACATGCTGGCTCCCATTTCCCTTCCAGCTCACCTCCCATTCTCCCCCTAGCTCACCGGCCTTGCTGCTCCTCAAACGTGCCAGACACTACACTCAGCTTCAGAGCCTTTGTACTTGGTGGCACTTGTTGATACCTGGTACTGGGAATTGAACCCAGGGATCTGGACTTACATCTCCAGCCTTTTTTATTTTTTGAGACAGGGTTTCACTAAGTTGCCCAGGCTGGGCTCAAATTTTCCATCTTCCTGTTTCAGCCTCCCAGAGTGCTGGGATTACAAGCATGGGCCACCACACCAGGATTGGTGATGTTATCACCACTGCCACACTTCCCCCAGATTCTGGATCTCCATGGCTATGGCCTTCTCTCCTGCAGGCCTATACAGAAATATCACCTACTTGGTGAGATCTTCCCTGACTACCTCATGTGAAACACCATGCTGATGGGAGATCATGTTGGGCAAAACAAGGCGCTCAGAAAAACAAATAGCCCATGTTCTCCCTAATGGAATCTAAGATGACATGAAAACAGGAGAAGGAAGTAAGGAGGAGAGGGCAGAGAGTGTGAAGAGCAATGAGTGGCAAGGATCAGACTATACACACTGAAACCCAGTATTTTGCTGGTAGCACATGTCTGTAATCCCAGCACCCTGGGATGCTGAGACAGGAGAATCCTGAGTTTGAGCCTAGTGTGGGCAATTTAGCAAAACACTGCCCTGCCTCAGAAGAAAACAAAAAGATGAGCTGGGGACATAACTCAGTGAGAAGACTCTGAGTTCAATCCCTATACAATAAAAAAAGAAAATGGTTCCACTGCCAGCCTTGCAAGTGCAAGGACCCAAGTTTGATTTCTGGTACCAAAAAAAAAAAAAAAAAAAAGAAAAAAAAGAAGAAAAGGGGACTTAGCTCAGAGGTGCTGCCGCCTGCCTTGAAAGTGCAAGGTCCCGAGTTTGATCCCCAGTACCAAAAACAAAAAAAAAGAAAAGAAACCCAGTATTTTCCAAATTTAATAGAAATAATACAGGGGGGAAAAAAGACTAAAATAGGATCCTGGGGCTGGGGGTGTAGAGTGGTAGAACCTGCTTAGCATGTACAAGGCCCAGGGTTAATCCTCATTACTATAAAAGAAAGGGGGAAAAAAATCCCTATACCTTTGCTCCCAGTACTTACCATTTTAGATGACTATTTGTTTTGTTTTTTTGGTACCAGGAATCGAAGTCAGGGTCTCCCACTTGGCTGGCAGGTGCGGTGCCACTGAGCTACATCCCTATCCTCATTCTATTTCTGACTTGTACCTTCTTTTCTTCCGAAAGAGTTTCAGCCTATGAGTGAGGGGGATCTTTGTTTCGGTCACCCTTGTATCCCTGATCTCTGAAGCAGTGTCTAGCAAAGAGAAGCTTAATCAGTCCTAAGTGGATGGATGAATGGGCATAAAATCTTGGTGAGGAACTGAATTTTTTTGTTTTTTGCAGTGCTAGGGATTGAAGCCAGGGTCCATAGCAAGTTAGGCAAATGCTCTCCCACTGAGTGACAGGCTGGGCCCAGAATTTTATTCTAAATGCAATGGGAGTAGGGTTTTCAGCAGGAGGGCTGGGGTAAGACCTCCCTGGTCACAGGTGCCTCTGGCCACCTGAGGGAACAGACCATATTAGCTGGGGGGCAGGGAGCCCAGTGAAGCTGATAGACCAGGGTCCTGTGAGAAGCAGGCCCT